TCAGATGTGCTACAAACGCATGTGCTGCAGTTACATGCAGTACAGTCACCCGACACACACGCACATTCCTTACAATCACCAGACACACAAGTGCTATCACCAGACACACAAATGCATCCCTTACAGTCACCCGACACGCACTCACACCCTGCACAACCTGCTGACACACCTGCACACCCCTTACAATCACCCGACACGCACGCCCATCACATACAGTCACACACTTTGCAGTCACACCGGCTACAGTCACACGTGCTGCCGCTGTTGCAGCTGGGGTGGAGTGGACTGGAGTTTCTCCACCTGGAGGGGTTGGATGGGCTCTCCGATTCCTTCCTGCTGCTCGCTGCTGCCACCTGCCCCCACCTCTCCACACTCGCCGTGGAATATTGCAGGTGCGTTGCAGTGTGATGCGGTGGTGTGATGCGGTTTTGCTCGGTGCAGTGCGGTGATGGGTGGTGTGCAGTGGCAATGGTTCAATCTTGTACTTCCATTTACACCCTATTACCTCACATGCCCATCCCTCCCTTCTTTCCGCCCACAGGGAGATCTCAGAGGCGGGGCTCATCCCCCTGGTGCAGTCGTGCCACCGCCTGCAGCACATCTGCGTCTCTGGCTTCCTTTCCTTCCGTCCCTTTCACTCACTCTATCCTTCCACATGGTCACCCCTCCCCTTCTTACAGGGGGATCTCAGAGGCGGGACTCATCCCCCTGGTGCAGTCATGCCACCGCCTGCAGCACATGTGCTTCTCTGGCTTCCGTGCCACCCACCTCTCCGACCTTCTCCTTCACACCATCACCTCGCACTGCCCGCTGCTCTCCACCCTTGAGGCTCCTCAACTGGCCCTCCCTTCAGCTTACCACACTCTTCCTCCGCGCCTGTAGGGGGTAACAACACACAGCGTCTCACAAGTTCATCCCTCCCTCCCTGCCTCCCTTGCTCCTTTCCTCCTTGCAGGGAAATTTCAGAGGCAGGGCTCATCCCTCTAGTCCAATCCTGCCACCGCCTGCAGCACATGTGCTTCTCTGGCTTCCGTGCCACCCACCTCTCCGACCTTCTCCTTCACACCATCGCCTCGCACTGCCCGCTGCTCTCCACTCTCTCCCTCCGCGCCTGTAACGGGGTTACCACACACGGCGTCGTGCGCGTGCTGCAGGGGTGCGGGCGAATCGAGAGGTGCCAGCTGGCGCGGTGTCAGGAGGTGGACGAGGAGTGGGTGGTGAGAGTTGCGAGGGAGGTTGGGGAGGTGCGGGCTAGAGGAGCAGGAGGGAGCAGTAGAGGTGCGGGGGAAATGCCCGTGATTGAGATATCCTGATCTCGCCCCCCTTGCGGATTGCTGTAAAAGGTTCCGCGCCAAGTGTAGTTTAGGTGAGCTGTAGTTTTCTTTTAGCAATTTTGCAAATTAGGTTAGTTGTTTTGATTAGGTGTTTGTGAGTATCTTTGTCTGCATATTCAGCAAGAATTAGCTCAAAGTGTACTTTCCATTGTGCAGGCTGCACAGTATGACCCTCATACTGTGAGTCAGTGGCTGCACTGACTCACTCACTCACTCACTCACTTACTCACTCACCATTTTGCTACTGCTCACTCACAGTATGACCCTTGCTGCAGTTCTACTCTTGCTCCCCTCCCCCATACGACGCCACCTGTTCCCCATGCACTCAGAACCCTTGTCCTCATCCCACCACCATCCCCCTTGCATTTTACCACTTCCAGCTGACAGCATTCTCCTCACTGCAGCTCTACTCTTGCTCCCCCATATGCCAACTGTTCACCATAAGCGAAGAACCCTCCCTCTCTCTAATCCCACCATCCCCCATGCTTCTTTGCAACTTCCGGCTGACAGCATTACCTTCACACTACAGCGTTCACTCTTGCTCCTCCATGCGGCAACCAACTATTCCCCATCAGCTCGAAGCACTTCAGAGGTGCCTCAAAAGGCCGACCTGACAGCATGGCCCCCAGTGCAGCTCTACTCCACTCTTGCTCCTCCATGCGCCAACCAACCAACCATTCCCTATTAGCTCCAATCGAAGCGCCTTTGAGGTGCCTCAAAACGCTGACCTGACAGCATGACCCCCAGTGCAGCTCTACTCTACCATACTCTTGCTCCTCCATGCGCCAACCAACCATTCCCCATTAGCTCGAAGCTCCTTCGAGGCGCCTCAAAACGCTGACAGCATGACCTCATAAGCGCTCAAGTGCAGCTCTACTCTACTCTTGCTCCCCTCTCCCCATATGCCATCTGCTCTCCCCCCATATGCCATCTGCTCTCCCCCCATATGCCATCTGCTCTCCCCCCATATGCCATCTGCTCTCCCCCCATATGCCATCTGCTCTCCCCCCATATGCCATCTGCTCTCCCCCCATATGCCATCTGCTCTCCCCCCATATGCCATCTGCTCTCCCCCCATATGCCATCTGCTCTCCCCCCATATGCCATCTGCTCTCCCCCTGTATGCCATCTGCTCTCCCCCCATATGCCATCTGCTCTCCCCCCATATGCCATCTGCTCTCCCCCCATATGCCATCTGCTCTCCCCCCATATGCCATCTGCTCTCCCCCCATATGCCATCTGCTCTCCCCCTGTATGCCATCTGCTCTCCCCCCATATGCCATCTGCTCTCCCCCCATATGCCATCTGCTCTCCCCCCATATGCCATCTGCTCTCCCCCCATATGCCATCTGCTCCCCATAAGCTTAAAACTCCATCTCAAATCCCGCCATACCACCAGCCAGACTATGTTGGGCATTTTCAGACTGTTCACTGCGTTGAGTGTGATGTCATCTTAACATGCACACAGTGTCCTGTTCACTGCATTGAGTGTGGTGTGATCTGTACATGCACACAGTGTCCTGTTCACTGCGTTGAGTGTGGTGTGATCTGCACATGCACACAGTGTCCTGCTCACTGCGTTGAGTGTGGTGTGATCTGTACATTCACACAGTGTCCTGTTCACTGCGTTGAGTGTGGTGTGATCTGCACATGCACACAGTGTCCTGTTCACTGCGTTGAGTGTGGTGTGATCTGCACATGCACACAGTGTCCTGTTCACTGCGTTGAGTGTGATGTGATCTGTACATTCACACAGTGTCCTGTTCACTGCGTTGAGTGTGGTGTGATCTGTACATGCACACAGTGTCCTGTTCACTGCGTTGAGTGTGGTGTGATCTGCACATGCACACAGTGTCCTGTTCACTGCGTTGAGTGTGGTGTGATCTGCACATGCACACAGTGTCCTGTTCACTGCGTTGAGTGTGGTGTGATCTGTACATGCACACAGTGTACTGTCCTGCACCCCTGCCGCACTCCACCCTGCCCTGTCCTGTCCTCGTCCCCCCTCTCCCCTCCTCCTCCCCCCCCGGCCCTGCCCCCGGCCACTCCCCCTCCGGCCCTGCCCACGCCCCCACCCCCACTGCCCTGCCCCCTCCCTCTCCTGCCCCAGCCCCCTTCCCCCCGTGCCCTGCTCCTGCCCCCTCCCCCCCCGTGCCCTGCTCCCGCCCCCTCCCCCCCCCCTGCCCTGCTCCTGCCCCCTCCCCCACCTGCCCTGCCCACGCCCCCACCCCCCCTGCCCTTCCCCCGCCCCTGGCCTCAGCCCGCGTAGGCCCTGTGCTTGGCCCCTACCCTACCCTACCCTACCCTACCCTACCCTACCCTACCCTACCCTACCCTACACTACCCTACCCTACCCTACCCTACCCTATCCTACCCTACCCTACCCTACCCTACCCTACCCTACCCTACCCCACCCTACCCTACCCTACCCTACCCTACCCTACCCTACCCTACCCTACCCTACCCTACCCTACCCTACCCTACCCTACCCTACCCCACCCTACCCTACCCTACCCTACCCTTCCCTACCCCAGCCTGACCCGTATCCCTGTTTTCACCCCCATCATCACCAACCACCTGCTAGCTCTGTCCCCATCCGCCTCAGACCTAGCCTTGCCTGGCCTAGCCTTGCCTGGCCTAGCCGAGCCTGTCAGCATTCCCATCTTCAAACCCCATCACCATCACCATCACCATCACCATCACCACACTCTGCCAATCATCCAGCATGGGAGTTATCGAGATGACCTTTGAGGTGTCTCAGGATGAACCCAGCCTTACCCAGCCATAGCCAACCCTACCCAGCCCTACCCAGCCCTACCCAGCCCTACCCAGCCCTACCCAGCCCTATCCAGCCTAGCCTTGCCTGGCCTAGCCGAGCCTACCTGCATTCCCATCTTCATACCCCATCACCATCACCATCACCATCACCATCACCATCACCATCACCATCACCACACTCTGCCAACTCATCCAGCACACGAGTCTCTGAGATGACCTTTGAGTTGACTAGGGATGAACCCAGCCCTACCCAGCCTTACCCAGCCCTACCCAGCCCTACCCAGCCCTACCCAGCCCTACCCAGCCCTACCCAGACATAGCCTTGCCTAGCCTTCCCTACCTGCATTCCCATCTTCATACCCCATCACCACCACCACACTCTGCCAACTCATTCCAGCACGGAATGAATCTTGAGTTGTTCTGACTGGGCTCAGATAATGACCGTGACTTTTCAGTCACTTCAATTGTCGCCCTGACCAGGCCCTATCCTCAGCCCCAGCCATAGCGTAGCCTAGCTTGCCTTCTTTTCCCATCTTCACCATCATCACCTCACCCTATCAGATGTATGATTGGGTGGCTTGAGTTAGCATACTACCGTGCAACATTAGCAGACTTACATACGGTACCGAGAGACTTCTGCTGGTGAGGACAAAAGCATATCCCTGTTGCGTTCAGCCTGGTTTGTATGAAGATACGGTATGGTATTGATTTCAGAACAACCAGCAATCATCTAATCGCATGGCATCAAGCTACAGTAAGATATGCATGACATTGTAAATAGCTACTAGCTACACTAAAATAAGCTAAGATCCAAATAGAGGATGGATCTTGTATGAATATTCTACAATATCGGGGAGTATTACGAGGTGTACTGCTCGGTTGAGAAGGCTAGTTGCGGGGAGGTTTTCCCTTCTCCCCCTTACCCGCCTTCTTCCCCCGTTGCTCCCACTGGCGCTGATGGCCTGGCGGAAGCACAGTTGCGCCGGTGCCCTTGCGCAACTGCCCGCGCACAGCCCCCTCGCTGAAATTCGGGGTTGCGACAACCAGGTAAAAGCTGCCCGGGTCAGCCAGAATTTTATCGATCACAGTGGAAAGGGCTTCGCCAGAGGCCGTGCGAATGTTGTCGACGTCTTCCCACACTCCAGTCGTCGCATAGCTGAGATGGTCGTCCGCGGCCTCGGCGACAGCCGCCTCCGTCGAGTTCTCTGCGACGGACGACGCGAGAACGACGTCACCAGCCTGCGTGCGAACAACGCCCGTCGTGTTCACCCAATCAGCTCCGGCGAAATCGACCACCGCCGGCCCAGTCGCGTTGCTGGCGCCGCTGTTAATCGTTGCACCCATCGGCAGCTGGGCCGCAGACACGCGGCGTACGGACAGGATATACCTGACGTTCATCTTCGCGCCGCTTTTATAGACGGTCAGGATCGCGTTGCCCGTCGCGTTCTCGTCGCCGCCGGCTGCGGTGATGACGGACGATCCGCGGAGGACGGTCCCCACCTTCCCCACCTGCTTCCCCAGCGGCTTCTTCTTGTTTTCCGCCGAGCTGGGACTGGGGGCGACCGCGGGACCGGCGGCAGGGCTGGGGGCGGGGCTGGGGGCGGGATGCGCCTTTGGTCCGCGGATTGCGCCTGCGCCCTGATGCTTTCCGCCTGCCGCCTGCTTTCCGCCCGGCGCCTGCTTTCCGCCCGGCGCCTGCTTTCCGCCCGGCGCCTGCTTTCCGCCCGGCGCCTGCTTTCCGCCCGGCGCCTGCTTTCCGCCCGGCGCCTGCTTTCCGCCCGGCGCCTGCTTTCCGCCCGGCGCCTGCTTTCCGCCCGGCGCCTGCTTTCCGCCAGGGGCCTGCTTTCCGCCAGGGGCAGCCTTACCCCCAAGGGCCTTGCCCTTTGGCGCATCGACCTTGCCCTTGGGGTTGGCGGCATTGACCTTGTGGTTAGCGTGGCCTCTCGCTTTCGGGTTCGGCGCGGCGACGGTGGTGCTTTCGGAGGGAGCGGGAGCTCCAGCAATGTCGGTAGGTTCCGCGGCTTGCGGCTCGAAGTCGGGGACGGGATCGGTGATAGTGACGGGATTAGTAGTGATGTCGGGGTTTGCGGGGTCGGCGGGGTTGGCGGGGTCGGGGGGGATGGCGGGGTCGGCGGGAATGGCGCGGACTGCTTGGAGCATTCTGGCGTCAGCTTGGCCTGAAGGACGGGAGAGCGAGCATTCGTAATTACGAAGCATGGGAGAGTTAACAGGGAACGGGATTCGAGCAATGGCATGTTCGGAGAGATCCGATGGAAGCTTGGTTCTTACATGCGTCGAGGTTGACATGCGTGGGAACCATTGTTGAGAACTTGAGTACCGTATTTCGGTGACCGAATGAGAGGCTCTTACATGAGAGGGCGAGAATCGCCAGAAGCGCCAAGAGCAAACGAGTGGCCGACATAGCTAGCGTAGAGCGGCTGTCGCACGTGAAATGCTGGTGGTGACGACGAGAAGAATGCCAAATAGGTGGCAGGGTTGCGAGATACGCTGGGAATGAATTTCGTTGCGAGAAAGATAGTCAAAAATTGATGTGTTGTGGGTGTGGTGAAACAAGTCGCAGGTTTTGTAGGGCTTCCATTCCATTGCACATGCCATATGGGCAAATGTGGCAGACGGTCGGTGCTGGGGAAAGGGGAGGAGAATCCCGCATCCAAGCCGCGACATTGGAATGTTACGAAATGCGGCTCGGTGGAGAGTGCGATTCAATCAGCGCGAACCGACCAGCTTGCCGGAGGGCGGGTATTGTCTTGAGCTGGTCTCCCGGGCAGTTTTTGCTGTCAGAAGGGTGTTGTGACTAGGCCTGTCGAAGTCCCTGGGACCAACACTTTGAGTCCTGAGCTGCTCGAAGTTTGGCCCTGATTTTCACGAAGGTGACGTTTTTTAGCCCTTAACGATCACGGGCGCAGGTATTTTCAATACTTGAAATCCGGGCTTCCTACAAAAATGTACGTGAGCTCTAATGGAACAAAGGCAGATGTCAACCTATTACTTAGCAGCGGGAAGGAGTATGCTAATGACTCATCTGCACCTACAGCAAGGGGGGAAGTGTGGTGGGGAGGGGAGGAGGGGGGTCGTAGGGCAAAACATCGTCAGCAAAGAAGTCGTTTAAACTCGTTTGAACAAACGCAAAGCACTTCCGAGGTGGTCGTTTTTCATGTAGTACTACTAGTGTGAACTGATGGGGAAAGATTCCTTTTCACCACGTTGGGTGTCAGTGTCGCGAGTCCAGTGTGAGTACTTGGAACTGTGAGGAGACGAATTGACTGGAAAATATTTTGCAGCTACAGCAATAACATCAACACAAGAAAGTCCTTTCTTGTCGAAGTAGATAGCTTATAGGAGATTCAGGGAGGATGAGAGCGGGAGGAGAAGAGTGGCACTTAGGCATCTCGCAGGGCTACTTTACTCCTGATCCGGGAAATCAGAAAAAGGCCCCGAACCAGCCCTTAAAGGACTCGGATTGAGACCCCTATTTCTCAAAATCAGCCCGTAATAAAAACGGGCTTCCCTCGAAACCAGCCCTTTGAAATGCCGAAGCTGGCTGGGAGTTCGACCGGAATATCAGGGCATTAAGGAGAAATGCCCTTGAATCGACAGCCCTGGTTGTGACCGATAGTGAGCGACGGTGTCCAGGTGACCAAGACTTCGTCGCAATTTCGCCCGTCGCACTGTGATGCCAGCTGTGTGGAGCGAAATTTGTCGAGCAACCCTGAACGCAAAATCTCTTCCCTCCGCGAACCTGAACGGTCACAGGGACGGTGCTGAATATTTTGATGCACGAGAGAATAACGTTTCGGCGCACCTCCTGAACATTCCTTCCTACCAGGACACCCCTCGTCTCTGCTGGGACCCGTTGGAAACTCTGGCGAAATCGCTTGGGCGATGTGGCCGTCAACCCAAACTGCTTGGGCGATTGGCAAAACCTGGAGGAATTTCTCGAAGCCAGAAGAAGATCACGAGCAGAAATGCATAGCTTCTGACAACTTCGGCATAAGGTGATCAAATTTTGCATTTGTAACTATACACCCAATAGCCTAAAGCACTACAACGCAAGTACCTGCATTTCTCAAAGTTACAAATCATCTCAGCACCCACTATCTCATCAATCATCGACAGAGACTAACGCATGCGCACACAACGCGGCTGGAAACTGGACAGGCGATTTATAATCACTCAACCATAGCACAGCCAAATTGGGGAGCATGCGTGCCCTATTTTTTGTTTCCAATGTTAGTGCTTATTAAAAACATAGTAGTCACGGTGAAATCCCATTCCGAGGATCTTTTGTCAAATCATTGAAAGTTTCCACTCTTCTTCGGGCCGCCGCAAAGACGGAATAGTCCACTATTGCCTGGTGGACGTTGCATTCGTGAAGGCCATTCAATGGACGAAGGGGGGGGGGGGGGGGGGGGGGGGGGGGTGGGGGGGTGGGGGGGACCATTACCATATAGACATCCCTACATTGTTGGAATGCAAATGACATCACTTACCGGCGTAAGTTGTGAAAGGCATCCAATGAAAGGAAAATAACAAAATGTTGTCAAGGAAGTAGGGTATAAAGAATGATCATCTCACAGAACACAACAAACCTTCCAGCACTTCTTGTCTCGGTCGTTCAACCCACCATGCCCTCACCTCCATGTGAGCATGAATGCCACCTCCCCTGGCCCTCCATGCCACAGCATAAGAGCACTCTCATCAAAGCTGCTCTTGTCAACACCCATGCATGCACATATTTGCCTCACTCTCACAACCCACCATGCCCTCATCTCCATGGAAAAATCAAATGCCACCTCCCCCTGCCCCTACATGGGTTTTGAGGGCGCTCAGAGCTCACCTCCATACAGGCATCAAATGTCACCTCCCCCTGTCCCTCCACGAGTCTCGAGGCCTTTCAGAACTCACCTCCATGTAAGAATCAAATGCCACCCCCCCCCCCCCACCCCACTCTTTGAGTGTCGAGGCCTCGGAACTCACCTCCATGTACGAATCAAATCCCACCTCCCCCTGCCCCTTCATGAGGGCCAGTTGCGCCCTCCACCAGTCGCTGCCTTCCCCCCACAGGTGCGCATAATCCCCCAGCATGTGCACTCGGTACAGCCCCCTTCCGCCCCCTCCACCCCCTCCCTTCCCTCCGCCCTCTCCCTTCCCTCCGCCCTCTTGTCCCCCTTGCCCCCCGTCCCCCCCTTGCCCCCCGTCCCCCCCGTGCCCCTCGTCTCCCACTTGCACCTCTTGGCCCCCACCGCTCTGGTGCTCCCCTCGCTCTCTTTCCCTTCCTCCACCCCCTTCGTTCCTTTGCCCGCCTGGACTTGCTCGCAGCGGATCAAAGAAGGAGGGGGCCTCGTCACTCGCAATAAACACCGACCTCCCGGGGGGGATGAGTTGGGGGAGCTTCTGTGCTAGGCTGAGTTGGGGGTGCAAGCAAGCAAAGGGAGGGCAGAGGAAGGACGCAGGGAGGGTGGTACGAACATCTTTGGGCGACACGGTTGAAGAAGGAGGGGGCAAGGGGGCCTGGTCACTCGCGATGTACACCGACTGCCCAGGGGGATGAGTTGGGGGAGCTTCTTGCCAGGCTGAGGGAGGGCAAGCGAAGGGGGAGCAAGTGGAGGGAACAAGGCAGAGTGGTGCATAAGGGTATACACGAGATGGTAAAACAAGGACGGGGCCTCGTCACTCGCGATGTACACCGACTGCCCGGGGGGGATGAGTCGGGGGAGCTTCTGTGCCAGGCTGGGGAGCAGAGAGGAAGGGGAGTGCAGAGGGAGGGAACACGGGAAGATGGATGGGCCAGGCGGTCGAAGAAGGCGGGGGCCTCGTCACTCGCGATGTGCACCGGTCTCCCGAGGGGGAATGAGGTGGGGGAGCTTCTCTGGTAGGCTGAGGGAGGGAGAGGAAGGGGAGGGCAAAGAGAATAGGGGGATGAGGCAGGAAGGAAGAGGCTAGGTGTTTTTTCCACCAAGAGGAAAAAAATGCGTAGTGAAAGAATCAAGACTATGAGAAACGAGTGCAGGTTTCAAACAGTGTACACTTGAACAGAGGCGTTTCGTGCAACGTCCAATCGAACAGAACAGAAGTGTTCCGAGCAAGGTTGGCAAAGGAGTGGATTTATTTAGACGTCACAGAGATTCACTTCTTTCACGTGATTGAACATAAGCGTATTGATCAACTTACACTTCAACAGAGGTGTCTCGAGCAAGATTGGGCCAGCGACTCGTATCCCTCGCCTTATCTCCCCGCCTCACATGCACAGCATCATAGTCCCCTCCGTCCATACTCGCTATAATCTGCCACACTACCGCCCACAGCTCCTGCCGGTACTCTATGGCCGACCAATCAGAAGACACCAGGCCGCCGTTCCTGGGGTCTTCGCAGTCCGCGAATCCCGTGGCTGCTTGCCGAACCAGCAGCACAGGCTCGGATAGCCGAAGCAGGTCCTCCAGGCTTGCCGATTCCGGAGCTATTGCAGCAGTTAACCGTTCCGCCTGACCCTTCACCTGCCATCCTCCCTCCCCCTGTTGCGCCCACTCCCCATCCTCCCGATTCTCCCCATTCTCCATCCGTTCTCCTTGCTCACCCCCCGCCCCTCCCTGGTTCCGCTCCCCCCACAGCGCGCTCTCCTGCGCGAACCGCTGCAGCGGAAGCACGGGCGCAAGGCTCACGCGCGCCAGGTCGAAGTACGCGAACAGAGGCTGCACGTGCCGGCGCGTGCCGGCGGCGCGCACGTGCTCGGGCGCGGTGCATTGGGACGCGTCCACGAGCAGCGTGCGACCGAGCGCGCGCGCGACGGACAGCTGGCACGCGAGGCTGGTGCGCGTGTGCGCCACCCCCGCGCACGCCTCGTTGCGCAGAGAGAAGAACAGGAATCGGCGGGGGGAACGGGGAGCGGGGAGCGCGCGGGAGGGATCGCCGGGGACGGGGGTCCGGAGCGCCTCCGAGTTATTTCTCCCGCTCTTGTGATTGTCACTTCCGTTATTGTCGCTCTCGCGGTTGCCACCGTCGTCCCAGAGGAAACCTCCTTGTAGTTTCGGCCACGGCGCCGCGTCGCCCCACCAAGCGGCGGGCAGGGAGGCCCAGGGAATTCCGCTGCGCTCCTCCACCGCGCGCAGCTCGCGCTGTATCTCGGGGGAGTCCACGAAGAGATTGTACTCGCTAATAGCGGGCCCGTTACTCGTGGTAGTAGGAACGTTGCTTGACGACGATTCGACTGTTGAGCTTACCACCATTTCAAGCACAGAACTAAACCCTTCCTCCTCCCGCTGTTGCAGCTGCTCCTGGCGCCGCTGATCCGCTGCCTGCTGCTCCAAGAACCCTGCCCCTCCTTCCAACACAGCCCCGCCCTCCCCGCCCTTCTCCTCCCCGCCCTCCCCGCCCTCCCCGCCCTCTCCGCCCTCTCCGCCCTCCCTGCCCTCCCCGATCTCCCTACCCTCCCCGCCCTCCCCACCTCCCCCATCGCCGACGCTTAGCAGCTGTCTAATCCGCCGCTGCCCTACAACATCGGGCACCTCGAGAAAACCTGACGTGGCGTCCGGCAACTGGACCGGTTTCATGAAATTTTGGCGTCGGAGTGCAACCCGCGCTTCCTCCAAAACGTCTTCGAAAAATTGTCGTTCGGAATGCAGATAAGGGAGGATTGTACCGAGGGTGACTAAAACGAGGACGATCAAAAGCAGGAGGGAGATGCAGCCTCCGCCTGCTAGTGCGCGCGGTAGCCTGTTCAGCGCGCGCAAGCGGAACAGCGGCGGAACGGCGGAAGCCGAGCCGGCGGAGCACATCCATGCGCGGAACCCCCTTGCGCCGCAACTCCGCTCCCGCGGTGGAGTTATTGTCGCGCCACTTGCTACGCTACAACCGCTCCCCCGCACGCGTCCGCCCGAGCTTCGTTTAGATCTATCGCAGTAAGTAACGCTACTCTCACGATATGGCGAAACTCTTTCGCGATATGCGGGTGGCGACGCAAACAATCGCGAAGGGCCGAGGGGCGGTGAATTAGCTGTTGGCGAAACGGGCGACGAGTGGGTTACTCGCGAAAGAGACTGGTGTTTTCTTCGCGGAGACGGCGACGGGAAGACGCGGACAGACACATCGTCTCCCGCCCACGTGCTCCCACCGCTTGATGCGGTAGTGCCGCCTTTTGAGCTGCCTCTGTATCCGTCAACAATTGTCATTTCTGTGAGAAACACTATCTGAATTATTACGTGGAAAAACGTTTAATCGTCACAAGAGCTGTGGACGTCTCAACTTTTCAGCACGGCTCAAAGATTGTTTCGGGAAATTGCAGCATAGACTATGGAGAGCGATCTTTTCTTACTAGCAGCCTCAATCGCCCCAGGTCAGGGCTCCTGTGATGGAATTGATCCTAATTTACAAGCGAATAATTCGCCGGGGAGAAAGAAGGACTACTAGTTGCTGCTCATATGAATTTGACCTGAGCTGAACGAATGAAGCGAGTTGTAGGGAAGCTATGACAAGAGGACGTGGGAGAGAAGAGGATGCTCCCGTGAGGTTGTGTGGCTGGGCTGTATGGATTCGCGCCAAAACCAGCTGGAATGTGAGAAGCATCTCTGAACCGTAGTAAAACGTAACGAAACTTATGAAACCCAAGTTTAAGTGAGGAAGGTGCCAGCCAGCCAGCCAGGTGTTCGAGTCATAAATGCTCCAACCATATTCAAACTGGAATTCGAGTCGCTCGTTGCGAATGATGATTGGTTAGAAAAACTGGGTGCGGTGCGGTGTCAGCAACATCTGTCAGAGCAGCTCCAGCCTGGCAGGCATGGGGTGGAAAAGAATTTGGCGCGAACCTTTTGAGCACATCAGACTCCACATTGTGGAGAAAAGCGGTACACGCTTCAGTGTTTTGCCATAACACAGTCTGGCTGTCGCATACTACATAATATTACTGCCACATCCTTCAAATTGCAATTTTAGATTGAAACGCTCCAACATAGGACGTTTGTTATAACGCATATTCATATGCCAGGTTACAAAAAAAAACAGCAAAAAAAGTCTGCAAAAACAAAGTAACACTTCACAGATTCCCACATACTATACATATATCACATATCATTAGCTACTCCACGAGCCTCATCCGAAGCGGCATGCCATATTTAGGGCTAAGCGCGATCCCCATAGTCGGCAAGTGTACATAAGTAGGTGAGAGCTCCCACTCAAGGCGACTCAGCATGTGAGCAAGAACCACCTTGGCCTCCGAGAGAGCAAAGTTTGAGCCAATGCAGTCTCGAGGGCCTGCTGAGAATGGCAGAAACGCCTGTGGGTGTGAGCATGCTCCCTGTATCCCATCTGTGGAAGTGGAGACGCATAGAGGGATAGGAAGGGAGTCATGAGTCGACTTCAAGGCTTGCGGGTGTAAGCATGCTCCTTGTATCCCATCTGTGGGTGTGGGGACTTAGGGCGTGTTCCTACGGCCTCTTATCAGGCGAACCTCTTGTCAGATTCGCGTCGCACCGCACTGAAACGCGCATAATAACATTCGATCGCATTGAATCGCATTGAACCGCACAAGTCTGACAAGAGGTCGCCTGATAAGGGGCTGTAGGAACACGCCCTTATGAGAAGGGGAGGAAGGTACTTTTGGCAACTGCTGAGACACACCTTTTCCACAGCATCTGCTTTGTCAGCAACCGTTGCGAAGGTGCGGGTGGCCTTGGAAACTGCCAGTTAGGTCATGCGAGTGGCAACATTCTCCTGGCCGCTGTTCAAGTGAGTATGCCGCGAGGTTAGTATTGTACCATACATCCAAACACTCCAAGTAAATAACTCTTGAGAAATCTCAAAAGTGTTTTCCATATAGTTTTGTACCATACATACATCCAAGCACTCCAAGTGCATTTGTGCAGCGCAGCCTCCTTGCTCACTCCTTGAGAAATTGTTTCTCAGGGAGCACACTGTGGGCATGCTCTTTGTATCCCATCATTGGGGGCAGATGGAGAGGGAGGGCAGTAGGGGGAGGAAGGGTTGAACCCGAACGCGTCCTCCCTGCAGAAGCGAGGGCACCTCTGAGCCATGGTATGGCTGTCCTGCCCACAGTGATGTGGAGAAAAGCGGTACACGCTTCAGTGTTTTGCCATAACACAGTCTGGCTGTCGCATACTACATAATATTACTGCCACATCCTTCAAATTGCAATTTTAGATTGAAACGCTCCAACATAGGACGTTTGTTATAACGCATATTCATATGCCAGGTTACAAAAAAAAACAGCAAAAAAAGTCTGCAAAAACAAAGTAACACTTCACAGATTCCCACATACTATACATATATCACATATCATTAGCTACTCCACGAGCCTCATCCGAAGCGGCATGCCATATTTAGGGCTAAGCGCGATCCCCATAGTCGGCAAGTGTACATAAGTAGGTGAGAGCTCCCACTCAAGGCGACTCAGCATGTGAGCAAGAACCACCTTGGCCTCCGAGAGAGCAAAGTTTGAGCCAATGCAGTCTCGAGGGCCTGCTGAGAATGGCAGAAACGCCTGTGGGTGTGAGCATGCTCCCTGTATCCCATCTGTGGAAGTGGAGACGCATAGAGGGATAGGAAGGGAGTCATGAGTCGACTTCAAGGCTTGCGGGTGTAAGCATGCTCCTTGTATCCCATCTGTGGGTGTGGGGACTTAGGGCGTGTTCCTACGGCCTCTTATCAGGCGAACCTCTTGTCAGATTCGCGTCGCACCGCACTGAAACGCGCATAATAACATTCGATCGCATTGAATCGCATTGAACCGCACAAGTCTGACAAGAGGTCGCCTGATAAGGGGCTGTAGGAACACGCCCTTATGAGAAGGGGAGGAAGGTACTTTTGGCAACTGCTGAGACACACCTTTTCCACAGCATCTGCTTTGTCAGCAACCGTTGCGAAGGTGCGGGTGGCCTTGGAAACTGCCAGTTAGGTCATGCGAGTGGCAACATTCTCCTGGCCGCTGTTCAAGTGAGTATGCCGCGAGGTTAGTATTGTACCATACATCCAAACACTCCAAGTAAATAACTCTTGAGAAATCTCAAAAGTGTTTTCCATATAGTTTTGTACCATACATACATCCAAGCACTCCAAGTGCATTTGTGCAGCGCAGCCTCCTTGCTCACTCCTTGAGAAATTGTTTCTCAGGGAGCACACTGTGGGCATGCTCTTTGTATCCCATCATTGGGGGCAGATGGAGAGGGAGGGCAGTAGGGGGAGGAAGGGTTGAACCCGAACGCGTCCTCCCTGCAGAAGCGAGGGCACCTCTGAGCCATGGTATGGCTGTCCTGCCCATCTCTGAATCTCACCCGAATGAGCCGCTGAGCTTCCTCCCCGGCCCACCGCTGAGGTTTGATCGGTTGAATCTCACCTTTGAAGCGTAATGGGTTGAACTCTAGAGCGTCCTCCCCCCAGAAGCGCGGGTCGCTCTGCGCCATGCCGATGGCCATAGTGATGCGCGTGCCTGCTGGGAGCGAGTAGGGGCCCAGCGAGACATGCTGGTGTGGGTGGGGAAGGGGTGGGGGAGGGGTGGGGGAAGGGGTGGGGGAAGGGAAGAATGGGATGGGATGAATGGGAGAGGGTCGCTCTGCTCTGCGCTATGCCGATGGGAGAGGCCATTGACATGCGTGTGCCTGCTGGGAGAGAGGAGGGGCCCAGCGAGACCTGCTGCAATAGGGAAGGGGAGGAAATGGAAGCGAGTGAAGAAAGGTCGCTTCGCGGGTGATGACAGGGGCCAGGGGGAAGAGCTGGAGTGTTTCCCCCCGACCATGGGTCAGAGCAGCACCATGTGCATCTCGCTCACCTGCCCCACTTGCTCCCAGTCACCTTCCTTCCACCCCCCCTCCCCTTGCTGAGTCTTCCAGTAGCACCATGTGCATCTCGCTCACCTGCCCCACTTGCCTGAGTGTCCTCCAAGGCACATGCTAACACGCATTATCACATGCTAACACGCATTATCACATGCTAACACGCATTATCACATGCTAACACGCATTATCACATGCTAACACGCATTATCGCATGCTAACACGCATTATCACATGCTAACACGCATTATCACATGCTAACACGCATTATCACATGCTAACACGCATTATCACATGCTAACACGCATTATCACATGCTAACACGCATTATCACATGCTAACACGCATTATCACATGCTAACACGCATTATCACATGCTAACACGCATTATCACATGCTAACACGCATTATCACGTGCGCTCGTACGCTCATACCCACACTGAATTGCATGGGCCTCACCTTGCTTGCTTGAAAGGGCCTCACCTTGACTGCTTCGCGTGTGATGACAGGGGTCGGGGGGAAGAGCCGGAGTGTCTCTAACAGCACCATGTGCATCTCGCTCAACCGCCCCACTTGCTCCCACGTCACCTTTCTTCCGCCCCCCCTCCTCCCGTTGCCCTTCGCCGCTTCCCCTCCCCCCTCCTCCTTCTCCCCTTCCCCTCCTCCCTCCCCCTTCTCTCCTCCTAGCTCCAGTTTCTCCCCCCCTCCCTCCCTGTTCGCCCCTCCTCCTCCTCCCCCACCTTCAGGCATCTCGCTCCCCATCACCCGCCACACCTCCTCCCTCACTCGCCTCTGCCAATCGGGGTAGCGGGCCAGCAGGTACACAGCCCAGGTGAGTAGTTTCGCTGTCGTCTCGTGGCCTGAAACGATGGGAGGGGTGAGAGAGCATGGGAGCATGACCTGTGTTGCACTTGCCTCTGCACTGCACTCGTTGCTGACGTCATACACTCCACCACCGCACAGCACCCCTCATCACCGCACAGCAGCACCCACCCACCTCCCAGCGCGACACAGCACCTCATAGCACCGCCCAGCACCGCATTGCACTGCACAACACCGCACTGTACCGGCCAATAGGAAGGTGACGCATTCGTCCACCAGCTGCTGGTCGGTCATCTGCTCGTTGCTGACGTCATCCCTTGCTGCCAGCATCACTGCCAGAAGATCCTTCCTTGAGTCGCCCTGGGGGGAATGGGAGAAGGGGTGCGGGGAGAAGGGGGAAGAGGGGAAGGGGCGGAGAAGGGAAGAAGAGGGGATGGGGGGAATGGGGGAAGGGGTGCGGGGAGAAGGGGGGACGAGGGGAAGGGGGGAAGAGGGGAAGGGGGAAAGAGGGGAATGGGGGAATGGGAAAAAGTTGAAGGGGAGAATGGGGGACTGGGGAAGGGGGGAAGGGGGAAGGGGGAAAGGGGAACGGGGGGGAGGGGGAAGGGGGGGAAGGCAGCCGTCTCACCCTCTCCCCTGCTTGCTGCAGTGCTCTCGTCTCTCACCAACCCCCCAAACTTCCCCCCGTCCCCTCAAACGACCCCAGCTTGCATTGAGGTCGTTTTTGAGGCGCCTCAAAAACACCAACCCCCCAAACTTCCCCCCGTCCCCTCAAACGACCCCAGCTCTCACCCCCCAAACTTGCAGCGCTCTCTTCTCTCTCCCACCAACCCCCCAGACCTGCAGCGCTCTGCTCTTCCTTGCCGAAACATGTTTGCGACCTTTTCCTATTGAGTGAAAACAGTCTCTGCGATCAGGATTCTCTTCAAGGGTTCTCTCTTTCTTTTCTTGCTAAAAGACTTCTCTAGCACTGCAGCCCTTCCTAACCATGAGTGACGACAAACCTGCAGCGCTCTCGTCTCCCACCAACCCCCCAAACCTGCAGCGCTCTCGTCTCCCACCAATGCTTCTTCCTGTAAACCACCAGCTTCCCTCCCTCCCCTCGCCTACACACCAACCAAGCTCCCACCGCTTGCTCCTGTCTGCGCCTCGCAATCAGGTCTAGAGACCGCCGCGTCACTTCCTCCGCTGCTGTTTGCTGTGAACCTCTCTCCTCTCCTGCTCTTCCTCCTCCCTCTCCCCTTGTCAAACAACCCAGCCCCAGCTCTCACCGCTTGTTCCTGTCTGCGTCTCGCAATCAGGTCTAGAGACAACCGCGTCACTTTCTCCGCTGCTTGCTGCAGGGCGCTGTTCTCCTGGGTGGGCAGCCACCTGAAGGCACGTGGGGTGGGGGGGGAGAGGTGTGTGGGGAAGGGGGGCAGCGGAGCAAGACAATATGTCTTCCCGGCGCCTCGATAGTTCTCTCCGCTGCTTGCTGCAGGGCGCTGTTCTCCTCCTGGGTGGGCAGCCATCTGATGGCACGTGGGGGAAGAAGGGGGGGGGGGGGAGGGGGGGGGGAAGAAGGGGGGGGGGGGAGGGGGGGGGGAAGCAGGGGGCACTTCAATATCTTTTCAAGGCGCCTCAATAGTCCTCTCCCTACTGGCTGCAATGCTCAGTCCTCCTTGATCCGTGGTGAGTAGTCAGCTGATCCGCGGTGAGTAGTCAGCTGATCCGAGAGAGGGAGTACTCGAATCCCGATTTCACTCCGCGGATCAGCTGACTACTCACCACGGATCAGCTGACTACTCACCGCAAATCATGGAGGACTGGCTCGGCGGCACGTGGGCGGCGGGGGGGGGGGGGAAGAGAGGGATGCAAGAGTGAGAAACAGAGAGCGCTGCAGCCTGCTGAAGCACGCAACACTGCTTGCTTGCTGCAGCGATTTGCTCTCCTGGGTGGGCCGCATCGCAAGCTGATGGCACATGAGGGAGGAGTGGGAGACAGCATGGAGTAACAGGGCGCAAGCAGTACTGCTTTTGAGGTGCCTAAAAAAAAAGACAGCATGGAGTAACAGGGCGCAAGCAATACTGCTTGCTGAGATCTCGTTTCACGTGTGCTGGTATTAGTTTTGAGAATTCTCAAAAAGGGGAAACGAGACAAGAACCGACTTTTGAGTCGACTCAAAAGTCAACGTGTGCTGGTACTAGTTTTGAGAATTCTCAAAAGGGGGAAACGAGACAAGAACCTCTCTGTTCCTCGAGGTCTGAGCATGACTGAGGCTGTTGAACAGCTGGAGGAACCGAGAGGGCTGGAAGTACTAAGGGGGATGAGAGAGATCCTCTGCTTTGGGAGCCCAATAGAGGCTCACGTATACAAGTGCATGAGGAAGCGGCCCGAGAAGAAACGCTCTGTGCTTCCAGTGCTTCCAGTGCTGCGAGTGCTGCGAGTGCTGAGCGTGGCTGAGCGTGGCTGAGCGTGGCTGAGCGGACTGAAGGAGCTACCCTGTTTTAAGATCGCACCGAAACGAACTCACGTATAGAAGGGGATGAGGAAGCGGCCAGAGAAGAAACGCTCTGTGCTTCCAGTGCTGAGCGTGCTCACCGCCTCATACACCTCCCTCACACTCCTCCCCTCCTCCTCTGCCCGCCTCTCCTCACTCTCTCCCTGCCCCTCCTCCTCCATCTCCTTCTCATCACTGCTAGCATGGCTCGCCCCGCTGCTTTTAGCAGCTGTGCTGCGCACTCCTCTGTTGCTGACAGGGGAGCCAAAGGCAGCAAGGCCGATGATGCCAAGAGTGAGAGCCGTGAAGACAGGATACATGTCCATCTCACACCCCCCGCTGCCGCTGCCTCTGCCTCTGCCGCTGCTACTGCAGTTGCTGCTGCCACTGGCTTGGGTTATTGTGTGAACCCACTGCTGCACTGCCCTGCGCGCTTGCTCGTCCATTACTCTCACTGCGTGCTGTGGGGGTTACGGATGGGAGGAGGGTATAAGAAGGAATGAGAAAGGTTGTTACCAAAGGCAGCAAGGCCGATGATGCCAAGAGTGAGAGCCGTGAAGGCAGGATACATGTCCATCTCACACCCCCCGCTGCCGCTGCCTCTGCCTCTGCCGCTGTTACTGCAGTTGCTGCTGCCACTGGCTTGGGTTACAGTATGAACCCATTGCTGCTCTGCTCTGCGCGCCTGTTCGTCAATCACTGCCACTGCGTGCTGTGTGGGGGAGCAGAGGAGGGGATGAGAAAGACTGAGAAGGCCCGTTAGCCCATGTGTGAACCCACTGCTGCACTGCCCTGCGCGCTTGCTCGTCCATCGCTGTCACTGCTGCGTGCTGTGAGGAGGAGGGGATGAAGGGGTGAGAGTGAGGATATGAGAAAGAATGAGGAAGGCAATCAGCCCACGTGTGCGTGTGCACCAACTGCTGCACTGATAAGATTAGAGTGCGGGTGACTGTGTGCACCCACTGCTGCACTGATAAGATTAGAGTACGGATGACTGTGTGCGCCCACTGCTGCACTGATAAGATTAGAGTACGGATGACTGTGTGCGCCCACTGCTGCACTGATAAGATTAGAGTGCGGGTGACTGTGTGCGCCCAGTGCTGCACTGATAAGATTAGAGTGCGGGTGACTGTGTGCGCCCACTGCTGCACTGATAAGATTAGAGTGCGGGTGACTGTGTGCGCCCACTGCTGCACTGATAAGATTAGAGTGCGGGTGACTGTGTGCGCCCACTGCTGCACTGATAAGATTAGAGTGCGGGTGACTGTGTGCGCCCACTGCTGCACTGATAAGATTAGAGTGCGGGTGACTGTGTGCATCCACTGCTGCACTGATAAGATTAGAGTGCGGGTGACTGTGTGCACCCACTGCCGCACTGATAAGATTAGAGTACGGATGACTGTGTGCGCCCACTGCTGCTCTGCTAAGATTAGAGTACGGATGACTGTGTGCGCCCACTGCTGCTCTGCTCTGTGCGCTTGCTCGTCCATCACTGCCCACTGGGTGCTGTCGTGGGGTACGGGGAGGTTGGGATGGGATAGAGGAGAGGAAGGGGATTGGACAGGAGGAGCGGAAGGAGGGGTAGAGGGGATGAAGGGGTGAATGAGGAAGGCCGATACTCCATGTGTGAACCCACTACTGCACCTACCAGCGCGCTTCCTCCTCCCATCCCCTCCATTACTGCTTGCACCTCCATTACTACTGCACCTCCCTGTTTGCTGCTCGCCAGAAAGCTCACCACCCTGCACCCTGCTCGCCAGTCGGGCTGACTGCCCCACTGTCACATGTTGTACCATACCCCACCAATCCCATCCCACCTATACCATACCCCACCAATCCCATCCCACCTATACCATATCCCACCAATCCCATCCCACCTATACCATACCCCACCAATCCCATCCCACCTATACCATACCCCACCAATCCCATCCCACCTATACCATATCCCACCAATCCCATCCCACCTATACCATACCCCACCAATCCCATCCCACCTATACCATACCCCACCAATCCCATCCCACCTATACCATACCCCACCAATCCCATCCCACCTATACCATACCCCACCAATCCCATCCCACTCACCTTGAGGTAGGAGGGGCTGAAGGCATGGCTGATCATTTTGCGCTGCCGCGCCCAAAACGCCCCATCGGAGAACACCAGCCCGTTCGCCAGGAAGCTCACCACGCGCCTGGCGTTCTGATTCTTCTGAAAGGACGAGCTTTTCGCAATAAGTATCTGAGGGCATAGGGAGGGAGGCATGGAGGAGAAGGGAGAGAGAGAGCGGGGGATGTCAGGAGGGGAAACAGGAAGCGCACCACGCGCCCGGCGTTCTGATTCTTCTGAAAGGATGAGATTTTCGCGATTAAGACCTGAGAGGGTGCAGAGTGGTGTGTGTGTGGGGGGGGCAGGGAGGCGGGGGGGGGGTGTGGGGTGGGGGGGGTGGAGAAGGATTAACAGGACGCTCACCACGCGCCTGGCGTTCTGATTCTTCTGAAAGGACGAGCTTTTCGCGATTATGACCTGAGAGGGTGCAGAGTGGTGTGTGTGTGGGGGGGGCAGGGAGGCGGGGGGGGGGGGGTGTGGGGTGGGGGGGTGGAGAAGGATTAACAGGACGCTCACCATCCGCCTGGCGTTCTGATTCTTCTGGAAGGACCTGAAAGAATCACGTGAAATGAGTGAGTTTTCGAGATGTCTCAAAAAGCCCACTCATTACACCTGAAAGGACGAGTTTTTTTTCGCAATCGAGACCTGAAAGAATCAATTGGGAGAGAGAGAGAGGTGGAGGCAGGAAGCCCACTACGTGCCTGGCGTTCTCATGTAACGACAAACGTATGGAGGAAAGTTTATGGAGGTGTTTCTTTTTCCACGCCACGTGCCTGGTGAAAGAGATGAGGCTCGGCAACGACGAGCAGCTGGAAGAGGCCAAAGACCGTCCCAAGTTGGTACCGCCACTTCCACAGCAGCCTGCCCTCTAACCAACCACACCTCCCAGGAACCATACCCCATGCCAGGGAATGAACAACTGATGGCACTAACCACTGCTTGCATTGCATCACGTGCCTGGTGAAAGAGATCAGGCTCGGCAACGACGAGTGGCTGGAAGGGGCCGATGGAGAGGCCAAAGAGCGTCCCATACCCCAGGCCCCAGGGCATGGAATAAGAAGCTGATCGCTCGTAACACCTGTCGTGCTGATTAGTACTTGCCTGGTGAAAGAGATCAGGCTCGGCAATGACGAGTGGCTGGAAAGGGCCGATGGAGAGGCCAAATACCGTTCCCAGCTGGCAACGCCACTTCCATAGCAGCGGGCTGATGGTTGCCGGACCTAGCGGCGCAGGCTCGGAAGCAGGTATGGGCTTCGGCTCGCGATTGGCGAATTCCGGAAGCTGCCCGATGAGGGGTCTGAGAGGGAATGGGGAATGGGGAGGGAGGGGGAGGAGATGAAGGGGCAGGAAGGGGGGAAGAAGGAGGACGGGGTGAGTTTAGAGTCGACTCAAAACTCGCGATTGGCGAATTCCGGAAGCTGCCCAATGAGGGGTCTGAGAGGGTATGGGGAGGGAGAGGAGAAGAAGGGGCAGGACGGTTGAAAAGGGAACGGGGAGGACGGGGTGACTTTTGAGTCGACTCAAAAGTTGTGCGATTGGCGAATTTTGGAAGCTACCCGATCGATCAGAGGTCTGAGAGAGGGAGGGGGAAGAGGGGGAGAGAGGAAGGGAGGGCAAGGGAGAGGAATGCATGTGAATGAGAAGGAGGAAAAGAAGGTAGACAATAGGACAACCAAAACTGCTCGCAACCAGTATATCTGGAGGGTATTTCATGAGACTTCTCCGTATATCTGGAGGGTGTTTCATGAGTCTCCTCAATATGTTTGGCAGCTGGCCCACGAGGGATTGGCGGCGGTGGTTGCCACCTGTAAAATTACTGCTAATGTTGCAAGAAACCCTCTACTTGAGGGGTATTAGCGCGAAGGGTAGTTTGGGTAACACGCGTGGAGGATGGGAACGCTAGTTTTTTTTTTTTTTTTTTTTTTTTTGCTGCATGTATCTAATTTGAGAGGGCCGAGCGAGAAAAGCATTAGCGTGATGAGTCAGGTATCCGAAATCTCTGTGAAACGGAGGCACGCGGAGTGTCGAACGATGGGAGCGCGGAGAGGGAAAGGAGGAGTGACGACTGCGTGAGCTAAACGCGAGTTGTACATGACTTGGTAGGGATTGTTAGGTACATCCCTCTACAAGGGATTGCCTCGCGCTGTGCTGTGGTCGTGTTTGTAGAGTGTTAGACAATACCTGAACGGGAGTAAGGGAATGCCTTGCTTTGTGCAATGCCGCCGGAATCGCAGTGGCTTGATGAGAATGAAGTAGACGCAGTAGCACAGCAGCGCGGCTAATGCGGCGAGAAACACGGCGATATTGAAGCTAGATATCTCATTAATTATAGCTACGGTATATATAGACGCAGTATTAGGAGTAACGGTACTGCCTTCGAACGGCGGCAGGAGAGGAAGAGCCGGCGCTACGAGCGGTTCGGCGACCATCCTGTGCAACGCGTGAGAATGCGACAAGCGGCTTCGCGACAGTCACGAGCGAGGCGACGAGGGAGCGACCGAAGAGGTTGAGCGACACAGCTAGCGCTCGAGCGTA